ATATATCTGGGATATCTATCCAGTTCAATTGTATGGCGCCCTTCTAATGAACAATTGTTTGATTTAAATTATCATTGAAACAAATTTGAAAGAAAAAAAATGAAATGATGAAATGGAAAATGTTGTTTGTTAAAAAAAAAATGTCTTAGTTCAAGTCTATTTTTAAAGACGAGAATAAGAATGAGCGGCGAAGGCATTTGATGAGATGATCCGTATGGTCAATTCTATTCAAAACCGGCATAATCCTCATTCTCATCGAAATCGATCTTGAAATCTTGAACAGAAGTTCGACCAGATTTTGACTGTTTTGATCTAGATGGTTCATCGTCATGGTACGAAAATTCGTCAAAATTCATCTGAAATAAATTTAACATCGAATAAATTTACGAATGTGAATAAATCTATCGATTTTTTTTTATTTTATATTTTACCTCTTCATCTAAAGAATCACTGATGCCACTTTGATTTGCTTCGTCAGATCGACCAGAATCATCACTTTGTTTCTGAAATTTAAACCACATTTATTTTGTTTATCTTATCCAAAATATTATTCAATACTTACCGAAGAAAGGAACGCAAATGAATGGTCAAAGAATGAACTCTGAAAAAGATGGAAATAAATGAATTATTTATTTCTTTGGTGTTCGTTTAAGTTATATTTTGTACTAACATTGTCATCATCATCACAGTTAAAATCGATCGAATTGCGGCGCTCATCTGTTTGATTGAACGACCACTTGATCCAGATTTTTCGTTGTTAGATGTGTTGTTTGATGAACCTTCACCGGGACGAATTTCCGCATTTGGTGCCTTAACATCATATTAAATGTATCAGAAAATGCGATCGGGTTTATTTGCAGACCATAGATTAATTCATTCATTGATTTATGTACCTGAGAGCTTGTCTTTGCTGCCGGTGTCTTGAAGACCGCATCAGATTTTGGACAGCAACTTTTATTCTGCATTGCGCATATCTTTTAGTACGCAAACTTAATGGGAGAAAATTTCCAAATTTTTTGAAAAATAATTGTCATTCCGACTGTTAATTCTAAAATGATGTGAATGCTAAAATCCAGAAAAAAGACCAACACCGTTTTGTAAATGTGAACAAAATCGCCTAATAAATGCAATTTCGGAAACTCGTTTTGTCTTTTTATGTTCTATCAATAAGTCGATGCTGTTGAACAGATAAGGAATAACGGAATATAATGAAACGAAGCGCAAACACAGGAAACTATGCGCCTGATTAAGTTTTTTCCCAAGCTATTTCTTGTATGACTCTAGTTATGACCGGAATCAAAATGCAACCCGAAAATTCAACTAAATGACTTTTTTTTTAAATTGTTTGTATGCTTACATCGGTGGAATCGAATGCCCGTGTACTCAATTCGCAGCGCCTCGATTTCTTGTTCGATATGCAACATTTCTTCGTAATCCGCCATATTGCCACTTTTTCACCCAGAATTTATCAATTGAATCAATTTTTTGTCTGATCTCTACAACGCAACTTAACTCGTTGTAAGCCAAATGCCGAATGACGATTCGAATCGCAGGACGTCAACATTCGCTGATACGTATTTATGTGTGCGTTTGTTTGGCACAAGGTTGTGGTACACGAAACACATTCGATGAAGAGCTACAAATACATTCAAATGGTATGGCCTGTATAAACAATATGCTTTAAACAAATATTTTTCTATAAACAATATGCTCAAATCAATAACAAATGAACAAATGCTCAAACAATAGAATATTGTGAAAATATTGTTTTGTTTGAGATATATGTCACTGCTGTTAACTGTTGACGAAATTTTTCGAATTGAATTGGTGCTAATAAGAGGCAAGAAAATGAAAATAGTTCACCGAATATTTGAGACAAGCGGCCTGATATTATTTCGACAATATATAAATTCCATTGGAATGCATGCAAACTATTGAGGTGTTGGTGAGACAACAAATGATTAAGAAACTAAACCCTACATGCCATACTATTTTAATGTATTTGTAGCTCTTCATCGAATGTGTTTCGTGTACCACAACCTTGTGCCAAACAAACGCACACATAAATACGTATCAGCGAATGTTGACGTCCTGCGATTCGAATCGTCATTCGGCATTTGGCTTTCAACGAGTTAAGTTGCGTTGTAGACAACAAACAAAAAAGTTATTCAATTGATAAATTCTGGGTGAAGAAGCGGCAATATGGCGGATTACGAAGAAATGTTGCGTATTGAACAAGAAATCGAGGCACTGCGAATTGAGTACACGGGCATTCGATTCCAACGATGTAAGCATACAAAAAATTAAAAAAAAATCATTTACTTGAATTTTCGGGTTGCATTTTGATTCCGGTCATAACTAGAGCCATAAAAGAAATGGCTTGGAAAAAACTTAATCAGGCGCATAATTTCCTGTGTTTGCGCTTCGTTTCATTATATTCCGTTATTCCTTATCTGTTCAACAGCATCGACTTATTGATAGAACATAAAAAGACAAAACGAGTTTCCGAAATTGCATTTATTAGGCGATTTTGTTCACATTTACAAAACGGTGTTGGTCTTTTTTCTGGATTTTAGCATTCACATCATTTTAGAATTAACAGTCGGAATGACAATTATTTTACATAAAATTTGGAATTTTTCTCCCATTAAGTTTGTGTTCGAAAAGATATGCGCAATGCAGAATCAAAGTTGCTGGAGCAACGTATTGCCAATGTCGAATTGAAAGTAGAGCAAGACGCCCATGCAAATACCGTTGACAAAATCAAAGAAACAGACAAATGGTAAGCGATGTCGAATCTTTTTTTGAATTCGGAATTCATTTTTATCATATTTTATTTCTATTTATGTAGCCTCAAAAAGGTGTACATGAAATTGTTGGGTTCGGAAATCACACCGAAAATCACAAAAACAATCGATCAACTGCTGCGCTACAAACAGAATGATTTGGATGAAAAAGAGAAGGTACACGAATCACGAATGGCTGAATTGAAGGCTATACAAATGAGAAATCCCACCAGTAAGTTTGATACTTTTCGATCTTTTTCGGTGCATTTTTGCCAGTTTTTTTTTTTCATTTAAATTAATAAATTATGATAGTGCGAGAGTGTAACGAACTTAATAAAAACGTTGCGAAATTGGAAAAGGATTTGATTGACATCGACCATAAGATTAATGCAAAAACACGGGAATGGGAAAATACCGAAAAAATTATGCAAGAAATGAGCGATTCATACGAAAAGGAAATCCAACAATTGGAGGCGAATTTGAAGATTAAAGAAAACGAAATTGTCAGTATGGTGTTTGTGAAAACTTTTGTCTATAGCTTTGATTGTTAATCATTTTTACGACATACATTTCAGTTGGAAGCTCGCAATCATGAAAATTTGGAGGTGCCCCGAGAACAGTCGGTAATTGTTCAAGCTGAAGTAACGGCCGAACCAATGATCAGCGATAAAAAGGTACAATACTTAATTGCCTTCGAATCAACTTCGTTTTGATTAAAATCGCAATCGCAATTATTTTTAGAATGACAGTGACGATGAAACATTGGAAAAATTCGAGGTCGATGAAACATTGGCGACACATTATAATTTCGATGACAGTTTCGTTGAAAATGCTGATGACACATTGCTGGCAACTAATTCCAATTCAGAGTCATCGGAATCAGTTGATCCACTTGTTGTCTACTTGGTGAGTATTGTTATAAATACTTTGTTTGTTTTTTTTTTTCAAATGTTTAATAAACAATGAATTCATTCTTTAACGATTTTTAGCGTCAAGGTTTTGGTTTACGTCAGAATGTTGTGAAACCGGGTTCAAGTCGCCGAACTAATGATCGAAATTCTGAATTGGTGAGTTTGAAATGTGTTAAACTAAATTTGTGTGATTGATGATTAATTGTGTTAATAGGGTTCAAGTGTAAATGATCAAGATAATCGAAGCGGTATTCTGTCAGGTCAAGCAAATGCTAATGACGCCAACACAGATGACACGACATCGAATTTTGTTGCACCATCACCACCGGTATATAAACGGAAGGAACATCCATTTTCCATTGATAAGGTGCCAGCCAAAAAGCCACATTACGATGAAACTTATCGTGCGAATGAACAAATGTCGCCGCAACGAAAAAGTCACCACATGGATCGACGTGTCCAAGAAAGTGGACGTCATGTTCGTTTTGATATAAATTCGGAGGATAATCTTTCATTGTTGATGCCGCCAACTTCAACAGACAGTGATCGTCTTCAAACTGACAAAGATCGAAAAACGTCAGCCCAAAAGGTACGAATATTTGCAACAAACATTTTAAACATGCGAATTTATTGATTTTGATTTATTTCTCATTTCAGCTAGGCAGTGTGGGACAACGAGTTCATGTCAATGATGTTGTATCGATAAATTCTGAATACGGTCGAGACGTAAACAAATCAACAGGCACAGGTGGTCATTCATATCAGCATATTGGCAGCGGCGATATTGAAAGTCCCAGTCAACGATATAGCATGCTTTTTAAGATAGCAAGACCAAAACCAATTGCCCAGGTACATAAATGAACGGATAAATGCGATTTTTCCGGTATTCTTTGGACCATTGTAATATTAAGTCATATTTCTTGTATGTTTTTTAGGTGCAAAGTCCGTCAATTCGTTCCGGCGAAGGTTCATCGAAATCACCCGGTACGTCTCGCGACAACAAGAACCAATCTGGATCAGGTCGTGCAACACAATACGATGGCGATCATTCTATGACATATCAGCCAAATGTTGGTGGCAGCGCTCGTCCAAAATCTGATGCGGTATTCAAGACACCGGCCCCAAAGCCAATCTCCCAGGTACATAAATGAACGAATAAATGCGAATTTCTGCTATTATTTGGACCATTGCCATATTTCTTGTATGTTTTTTAGGCACAAAGTCCATCAATTCGTCCCAGTGAACGTGCATCGAAATCGCTCGATACTTCTCGCGACAACAACAACCAATCTGGATCAGGTCGTGCAACACATTACGATGATGATCATTCTCTGCCATATCAGTCAAATGTTGGTGGCAGCGCTCGTCCAAAATCTGATGCGGTCTTCAAGACACCGGCAGCAAAGATAATCTCTCAGGTAAATAAATAAATGTGATTTTCCCTAGGGGCTCGGAACATGAAAAAAAAAAAAAAACAAAATGAACACAGTTTTATATAAATGGAAAATATTGAGAATATTTTGAATATTTTTCATATTTACGTAATTATTTGTCATTATTCAGCTCGTATATGGCACCGATGTAAAACACACACAACACAAAATAAAATTAAAAAAGCCTAAAAAACTTATATTTCTTTGATAAAAAAATAATTTGACTGAAGAACATCAAAAATGTATAGATAACATAAAAGTGTTCTAAGTGTGTGTGATTTTATGAATAACATTCCACAAAATGACATACATCATTTGCCGCCATTTTCATATTTACGATAATTAAAATATTGAGAATATTCATGATTATTCACAGTATTCTTCACACTCAAAATGTACCAATATTCGTGAATATGGTGATTATTATTGTTTAAACTCAAAACACATCAATATTTCTGATTATGTGTGTTTTTTCATCAATAAAAAATACTTCCGAGCCCCTAGGATTTTCCGCTATTCTTTAGATCATTATCATATTTCGTCATATTTTTTGTATGTTTTTTAGGTGCAAAGTCCTTCAATTCGTCCCGGCGAATGTTCATCGAAATCGACCGATACGTCTCGCGACAACAAGAACCAATCTGGATCATGTCATGCAACACATTACGATTATGATCATTCTCTGTTATATAAGCCCAATTTTGATGACAGCGCTCGTCCAAAATCTGATGCGGTCTTCAAGACACCGGCAGCAAAGACAATCTCTCAGGTACATAAATCAATGAATGAATTAATCTATGGTCTGCAAATAAACCCGATCGCATTTTCTGATACATTTAATATGATGTTAAGGCACCAAGTGCGGAAATTCGTCCCGGTGAAGGTGCATCAAACAACACATCTGACAACGAAAAATCTGGATCAAATGGTCGTCCAATCAAACAAGGTGAACGCCGCAATTCGATAGATTTTGAGAGTGATGATGATGACAATGTTAGTACAAAATGTAACTTAAACGAATACCAAATAGATAAATAATTCATTTATTTCCATCTTTTTCAGAGTTCATTCTTTGACCATTCATTTGCGTTCCTTTCTTCGGTAAGTATTGAATAATATTTTGGATAAGATACACAAAATAAATGTGGTTTAAATTTCAGAAACAAAGTGATGATTCTGGTCGATCTGACGAAGCAAATCAAAGCGGCATCAGTGATGCTTTAGATGAAGAGGTAAAATATAAAATAAAAAAAATCGATGGATTTATTCACATTCGTAAATTTATTTGATGTTAAATTTATTTCAGATGAATTTTGACGAATTTTCGTACCATGACGATGAACCATCTGGATCAAAACAGTCAAAATCTGGTCGAACTTCTGTTCAAGATTTCAAGATCGATTTCGATGAGAATGAGGATTATGCCGGTTTTGAATAGAATCGACCATACGGATCATCTCATCAAATGCCTTTGCCGCTCATTCTTATTCTCGTCTTTAAAAATAGACTTGAACTAAGACATTTTTTTCAACAAACAACATTTTCCATTTCATCATTTCATTTTTTTTCTTTCAAATTTGTTTCAATGATCATTTAAATCAAAAAATTGTTCCTTAGAAGGGCGCCATACAATTGAACTGGATAGATATCCCAGATATAT